AATGAAGCAAAAACGTGCTACAACCCTCAGAGAGACCTAAAGTACACTCCAGGAATGAGGGAGGAAGGCTAGTTTATGGTGTTGCAGTAGTATCATATTAGCTCATTGGGGATTTATCCTTATGGAGCTGGCTCCGGTGACTCTTAGGCGCCTTTGCAGGAAGTTTTTTGTGAGACCCTGCCACAGGTTTCTGTGCTGCTCCAAGGTGTGAAGGGAGCTGCACTGCAAGCTGTACCAAGCCACCTCTGCAGTCTTTAGCAGCTCCAACTCTTGCCAGAACTGATGGTCATGTTCTTAAGTCCTGCTCCTTTAGAAATGGCTGATTAAGCTTCTGGCAACAAAATGGGAACTGTATGGCGTGGTCTCAGCCTGCTCCCAGGCAGGTCAGGGAGGATCATGCCAAATCTTATGAGTGATGAACAAAATGTAATCCAAGGTTGTGTGATGGTGTTACATCATCTTATCTTATGCGATGATGAATATTGCAATGTCTTATCTCTTGCATATCACAGAAAACAAAATAAAAAAACCAACAAAACAAACCATGATTCATCTCAGTATATTTAGATATTCAGTAAATACTGTGATGGTTCTTCCCTTGTTTGACAATAACTATACTCTGATCTCGTGGATTATGTTTTCCTCAAAGTTGGAGTTCATATAAAACTTTATGAAAATAATGTATTAATCACTTGGATGCTGAATATTCACCTTTTACTTGCCATTTTTTACTTTAACTGTGAAGCTTAGCATGGAACAAGGTGCTTCTCTAAAGCCCAACAATTTCTCCCCATTTCTACCTTCCAGTCTGAGAGTATCAGCTATGTGTGCTCACTAGAACCAAACTTGTCATGGGGAGAAAGGAAAAAAGAAAAAGTAATACTCAAAAATCTCAGAGTGAAACATCTTGGTGCAGAGGACAATGAAGGAAAACTCAGAGATTGAGTTTTTAATAGTGATTTTTGATGTTTGTTTAGTTTGAATCTCTTTTCGTACTTTCACCAAACAAGCTTTCTTCTCATTGCAATGTAATTTTAAAAGAATAACAATAGATAAAAAAAACCCTTTAAAAGTAGTACTGTGGCTTGACTGTGTCTGTCTAATTAAAATGTAGATAAAAGACTAGCCAGTGGATAAACACAAGCCATGCTCCTCTAGTTCTGGAATTATCCTGTGATCCAGTTAGATCCTTTTTAGTAGCCTAGTTCCCCCATCCAAACTTCAATGCGATTTCACCTGATCGTGTGCAGCTCTGTCGGATCTCCAGGGTCTCCCTCTTTGGAGACTCCTCCAGAGTCTCCACGTTTACAGTGAAAGCTAAATGGCAGAACATAAATTCTAGTGTGCTTACTTAGACTTTTCTGTTTTGGAGCTTTTGGAAGCCGTAAATATAAAGTCTGGGTTCTAAAATGAAATAACAACAGAATACTCCTCCATAGAAGACTTTTTTCCTGTGGCTGTGATACTGTATTTATCCTCTCAGATTGTGCTTGCACATGCTGTGCACCTTGTTCACTGTTTCTAGGCCCAAACTGAAAAACAGTAATTAAAGTGACCTGGCTAAAGCATTATGTTATTGCTACTGACAGTCTTGGAGAAGTGATAGAGAAACCTTTTTTTTTTTCTCTAGAAGAAAAAAAAATGCCCCCAAAATCTATACTTTTATTGACTATTAAGATTTTACTAGTCAGCTACCACTGAGCACTTGTATTTTGTGTGGGTTTTGTGTAGAAAGAAAAACTGTTAAACATTATCAAAGGCTACTCCTCCCACTGAAATCAAATAAGATTTATTATTCTGCCACCTCCATTACTTTTAATAAAAAATGTTTAATTGAAGTCATATTGCTACTTCTGTGTAAACTGTTTTGGTTGTTATGAAAATCTGTAACAATCCATAAAATCTGTATTTCAGACTGCAGACATAAAACTATGTTAACAGTTACCCAATTCAATGTTTGTATATGCACTGTTGCTCACTGTTGGACATCATCAGTCCTTGAAAAACCTGTTAAAAATGTATCTAAACAATACCGGGTAACAAATCTGGTCCTTTGTAAATCAGCTGATATGTCAACAGTTGGGGAGTCTGGTAAATCAGTTCAGTCAAGCAAGCCAGGTTAATGCAAGGATTTTAAATACTTTGCTAGCCAGTGAAAACTGAGCCAGAACTGGGTTATAGTACGATCACGTCAGCAGCTTCTCCAGAGTCCTGAGGATTTTGTAACAAACAGCAGCATGACTGAAGCACAATTAGGGCATTTGCCTGTCCTCAGACTGGTCCAAACAGCATCTATACTCATAATGAACAGATGCAGCCTTCTATCTAGTGATGGGAGTATTCTGAAGATTCAGGCAGAATTTAACTTTCCCTCTGGAAATTTTATATAAATATCATAGCACTTCTATGCTAAAAAAGCGAACCAAACCAAAACACACGTTTCTAAACCAAAATCTAATTTTTCCATAGCAAAAATTTATGGCTGGTATTCCAGCTCAAAATACCTTCAGGGATATCACTTCTTAAATACAGGGACTAATGATTCCTTCTTCATAAACATAAATGCACTTTTTAAAATTAATTAATTTAAAAGAATAAATTTCTTCTTAATAAACATGTGTGACAGCCCATCTCTTTCTGCAACATGCAGGCAGGTGGATACTGGTATGTAGAGGCAGCTTCTCTTCTCTTGACAAGGACTGTGGAGGAAGCACTAGGTGGCAGGACGCTGGAGATGGAAGGTTAAAAGGAAGAGACTGGATTGGAGGAAAATGCATGAGCATGCGACAGAAAGTACAAACAGTGGCCAAGAGGCAGCCTGACAGTCTGGAGAAGCAGTCAGGGCCAGCTCAGAGACTCAGTGATCAGTCAAAGCAGGAACCTCAGCACCCACATCACCTGTGGGCATCACCAGGAAAGGCTCAGCTCCTTACTGGCTGTTTCTCTCCAAGGCTAATGGCACTAACAGCAGTCATCATTGGTGCACAGGGGTTGAATCTCTCAGTTGTTTTCCAACACTGGGGTGTTAGACTAACTTGCCTGCCTTGAATTTTAAACATAAGTTTCCGACTACAACTACATCTCTGCATAAACTGCTCAACAAATAGTTTTAATTAATAAATTCGCAAAAATAATGACTTACAAAGACAGAGAGGTAGCTTTCTCTGCTTATTAATCTATATGCTACAAATCACTTCTAGCTGCTGTTATTAAAAAATACATCTCGACTGATAAAAGTTCATGTTTCACGTCTTTTCTGGCAACACAGGAACAAGCTATAATTTTACTTATTAAAGTTGAACTCTGTTATAATTTTGCCATTCAGAAAGCTTTGCAATAAATTAATCACCAGAATAATTACTGGCCTGCTTTGTTTCAAATCAATCTAAGGAGTAACCAAAGGTTTTTTAAAGTTGCCTTTTTTTTTTTCAGAGCACACTGTAGATTCAGATGACTGAAGAAATATTTACAAAGAATATTTTAAAAAGCATATTTTACCCCCCTCTCAGAATAAAACAAATCCCTGTCACATCTTCCTAAGGACTCCATGCCCCAGGGAGTAACACACAGCTCACCTCTTCCCTTGCACCTCCATAGACAGTTTTAGCGTGGAAAATAACAAACAGGATGTTTGCAGTTCTGTCAATAACTAGCATCTCCATCAGCACCAGGAAACGCTGCTCAGATACATCTCATACATCTTTCTGGAAGTCAGAGGAGAAGGAGCAGAAACACATGTCCATGGAGAACTGAAAGGAAAGCCTCATGCAAATGCCAGCGCCAGCTGAGGCACCAACTTCCTGTAGTGCCTAATCCAGCCCATGCCAAGCCAGGCAGTTTTACAACAGATTTTTGCCAGCTGTGTGCTAGCAGTTTGATAGCAAAAAATGCCACAGTGATGTTCATATTGTCAGTGCACTGGTTGCCACTGATAGGAGGAAAGATATTGCCACCTGGATGTCTCTCTTGCTCAAGAGAACAAGCACAAGCACTTTCTGCTTCTCCAGTTTCAAGACTCTGACATGACAAATTATTATTTTTCTTTTTTTTTCTTCTTGTCTTTTAAATTAGCGCTATTTATTACAGAATTCTGCAGGATTACTAAAAGCAATTGTGTTTAGTAATAGTTATATTATCTGTCAAAATGTACTGTAATGTAAGTAAATATGCAACTAAGTATTTTAAAACACGAAACGACAAAAAAAAAATTAATTGCAACAGAAAGACTTCTGTCTGTTTACACACTGTGTTTGTTCAATGTGGATTTCTCTTCCCATAGTGGAGAAATGCCATGTTCATATTTAAAATCTGAAGTATTGACAAAATCTTCTGAGCACATAAAGCTGTTTTGGCAAAATACGAGTGCCTGCTGTGCTGCAGCTATGAAAATGAAACAGCTCATCAATTTACCAAAAATCTGCCTACAGACAAGGCATTCTTCAGGAAACCTGATGCTTTTCTCATGCAGGAAGAAATTCTCACCACGCTAAACTCAGTGAAAAACCTCTGCTGACTTCAATAGGGTCAACTGCTAGGAGACTGACAGGGCTATCATTATGCTTCAAAATTAATCTTATGCACATGCATTCACAAACAGGAATTGTAACGGCAGAAACACTTGATGCAACAGTTATAAGGGAAGTGAAAAATTGAGAAAGAATATTAATCTGTTACTCACAAAAAACCTAATCCGAATAGAAGAGCAAACCTTTAAAAAATTTTTTTCCTTAGCCTGTCAAAATCTCACATTTCTTCAGCTGTCTGTCACAGAGCACTGTCAGAAATGGAGATGGAATCTGCTGACTGAATTACAGTGTGGTTTCTCAGAGACTGAACCAGTATTTATTTTGAAATTACATCTACATTATTAATTACCTACTTAAAAGTATAAGCAAACCTTTGGCCTCATAGCATCTCTATAATCTTTCACAGTATAAAACTAAACAGTTTCTGATACCTGTAATTACTTACCAAAATAAAGGACTTATTTTTTATGGAAGTTTTGTTTGTAAATGTTTTATTAAAAAAAAATCTTTTAATGCTATTAGTCAATACATGTGTAATAATACTTTAATAAAGTATCATGTAGTAGTATGCATTTTGGATTCAAGAACGTAATGGTTTTAACTAAATCACCAGAGCTCTGTTCTGCTCCAGTCTCTTCTAAACTGTTATTTTCTTCCAGAACTTAAACAAACTCATTCTTTGTCAAGGTACATCATCCTTAAGGCCTTGCAAACTTTTTAGTGATTGAACCAAAACAAAGATAGAGCTCAGCTTGCTTTTTGAAGACCGCATTGCTTTTGAGCTTAAAAAGATGCCTGCAGTGTTCAAGCAGCTAGTGGCAAATCAGCAAGAAAGAAATCAGAGGAGAAGAAGGGGCACTTGGAAATCAAAACAGTAAAGTGCACAGCTATACTGCCTGAAATTGTATTAATCTGATCCACAGAACTTCCTGGACTGTGGATATTTAATACAATTTGGCTTGCATGAAACATACAATCACGATTAGACAGAAAGGATTTTCTTTTTTCTTCCTGAAATCATCTACAGGATTTAGGGAATTCAATTTTCAAGGGTAACATAGTGCAGCTCTTTGGATATTGATTGGTTTCCTAAGTCCACAAGGAGATGAAGAAGGGGGAAAGGTGTGGAGGAATGCAAGGTGTCCTCGTGCCTTCTCTGTTTTATTTAGATGCCAGTACTCTCCAGCTCCCCATCCTCCAGCCCTAATGCAGCATGTGACCTAGAAATCATAAAGAGTTTCTCCTTATTTGTGTACTGTCTTTGAGTTTGCTGAGATTGCTCTCCTGTTTGCTCTCTGCTGGTAGCCTTGAGGGGGTCCGTCTTCTCAACCGGTTCCTCCTCATAATCCTGAATTTTACTGGCTGTGGTGTTGGCAACTGACTCCAAGGAGGTGCCTGCCTCCTCCAGGTGGCTGTAGCCCTTATTGCTGCTGGAAGGCTCAGACTGGGAGCTCTGGGAGTCCGTCCTGGTGGTGGCAGAAGGGGCTGAGGGGGGTGATCCCCCCAGATCCAGAGATTTGGAGTAGCTAGAAGATGCCTTTACCAAGAGGCTGGAGTCCAGGACCCCACTGTCAGCTGGTGACCGAGGTGGCTCAGGGAAAAGGGGACGCCTGGCATCAGGCAAGCAGCTGATGCTCTGCCGCCTAAGAACCAGCTTGTGCCTCCTTGTCCCACAGCCTCCCTCAATGTGGCTGCTGCTGAGGTTGGTTAGGCTCAGTTCAAACTCTCCTCGAGGGATCTCCTGGGCTCCCTGCTCACCAGGTGGTCTCCGCCAGTCTCCCACTCTGCTGCCTGACCCCAAGGGCAGGAGGGCAAAAGCGCTCAGTGAGGAGCCAATGATGGAGCTGGCTGTGCTGCACTGGTCACAGCTCTCTGGTGGGCTGCAGGGAGGGCTGGTGACAGTGTGGCCAGCAAGGGCAGCACGCTCCCGGCAGATGCTGTACACGGCCTCAGCCAGGCTGGGTGGCTGTGGTGGGGGGCAGAAGGAGGAACGTCGTGATGAGGATGCCAGATCTGGCGGGGAAAGGGAGACACCCAGTCCCGGTGGCCAGGAACTCTTGGCCAGCATGGCTGCAGCACCCAGGCCTTCACCACCAGGCTTTAGCTCCAGGCCCCGGGACTGCACGTAGTTGACAAAGCCGTTGAGAGGGGTCGAGGGCGGGGTGCCTCCATCCTTGGCCCGCAGGCTGTGGGCATCGATGACGGTGGAATAGAGGTCACGCAGGTTGATGATCTTGGTCTTCTTGTCGCGGTTCTCGTGCAACACTGCATTGGCGCAGATGAAGAGGAAGATGCCAATGCCCATGATGAGAGGGCCCAGCACCTTCAGCTTGTCTGAATGCAAGTAGCTTGAGAAAAGACGGAAAAGGAAACCCACTGAGGCCTGGGGGGACGAGGAAGTCGGGGGGAACTGCAAAGACCCACTGGTAGTAGTAGTGGTGGTGGAGGTATTGGCTCTGGGGGGTGACTCTGGATGGATCCCTGCTTGCGCCCCTTCCTGGCTCTGGGAGTGGTTCTTGGGAGTGACACCTTGCGGTGCTAGGTGTCTGCCCGCACTGACACTGCCTTCTCTGTACACCTGGCTGGGCTTTGGCCAGTAGCCCACCACAGCCAAGGCGATGCCCACCAGCAGTACCAGGATGCCACAGAGGGCAATGAGCCCTGAGAGGGAGCACAGCTTGAGCTTGCCTTTCACCACAACCACGTCGTTCTTGCGCTTCTTTTTGGCTTTGCGCTTGCGTTTGGGGACTTGGCTTTGGGGTCGCAAGGGGTCCTGTTTCCTAGCCGAGATCCTCAGGAGGCCTCCAGTGGCGATCATGGCTGGCTACCAGCACACTGCCCCCTACGGCCACTCCAGCTCCTGCAATGAAAGGGAAAAGACAAGAGGATGAGGACCAAGGACAGACCCACAGCACAAGAGAGACTTCTATCTACTCTTCCTCCTGAAAAATCCTGCTAATTAAAACCCTGAAAAAGTGGGACAGGAGTTGACATCAACAGGCAGATCTCCCTTGCCCACACAGCTCCTGTGAGTGAGAAAGAGACAGGCAGACTGACAGCATCAAAGCAGCCACGTGCCCCACTCTGCTCTTGCCAAAGAGCTAATTAATTTCTTTAGACTCCAGGTAAATGATAGAGATAGTGGTATCAGCTAGTGTAAACAAACAAAAAAATTACCTCTCTGGTCTCAGAGGGAGTTTGCAAAGCACCAGAGCTCAGAGGATGTCGAGCCCCACTCTCTAATACGATCTGGGTTTACACTGCACACTGACTGTAGTTAGTGATGTCATGCAGGTTTGAGTGGGATGGGGGAAATAAAAGCAGGAAGGCAGTATACTTGATCTATAGATACCATTTGTTTCATTACGCTACTTACACATAACTGGAGGGAGGGTTAAACATATTACTTGTCTTGCTTAAATGAGTGGGAAAGGAATTACTGTAAAATGCACAAGGGAAACACATTCACTGGAAAGTGGTGCCCTGTGAAAGTTTTTTCCTAGCCATTTGCACTTGATCTGCAATATTACAGAAATTCATCTCCCGCCTGTGGTCCAGAGGCATCCCTAGTTTGGGAACATGTGCAATGCTCCAGGTAACTGTTATGTAACGCCGATGAATTCATCCCTCACCCCCTCCTGCCCTCAGAAAGGAGAGATGGTGGCTGGCAGGTAAGAGATGCCAGGTCAAATACTATTAAAAAGAGGAGTGAACCCTTGCAAGTCACCCGGGGAAACCATAAGGAGTGCTTGCAGGGAAATTGGTGGGGGACTAAAAATTGAGCATTTGCGGTTTTTGTCTTACTGGAACATCAGAAGTCATCTCTCTGTTCCAGTGATCTGAGCTATAAACGACAGCATGTAGGAGAAATTCCTGCACCGTTGCAATTCTTTTTGGAACCTATTTCTTCATGCTACCGAGGAGCAGGATCCCCTCCCTCCTTTCTCTTTCTGAGTGTCCTGTTATTTTTGTTTTGAGAGGCAAAAGATGACAGCACTGAATACGACTCACAAAGTTCAATTAATTGCACTGAAAGGCGATTAAGTAAGCACCTAAAAAAAAATAAACCTTAAAACCTTGCTCCTCTTCCCCGTTCAGCCTTTAAATCTTATCTCTTTTCTGTTCAAATGCCAGATTTACCACGTTTGCAGTAATATTGTGTCCCATTTACTCTGTTTGTATTTTCCCCAGAAAAAAAGATGGGTGTTGTCAGCAAGGACGTTGTTAAATTACTCTCCGAGGTGCTGCACGCTCAAAACAAAAAGCAGATTTCTCTTTCCTATCGCTGAACTGTTTATCAAAAAAAAAAAAAAAGAAAAAAAAGAAAAAAAGAGAAAGCATTGCGTTGATGCTAAAGTGTAATTATCGGGGCATGCTTTGTTTTAATTGATGATTCCTTGATCTCATTTTCTGCTCCCCACTAGCCAGCTGCCCGTCTCCTCTCCACGGCGATAACAGATGGTCATCAGCTCCGAGGAACGCTCCCAGTCCGGCATCTCCTGGCACTTAGTTTCGGCGATGGCGAGAGCAGCTTTCGGCAGGAGAAGGAGGGCACGGTCAAGCGGCCGCAGTGCCATGAAACCATCCAGCCGGGACCCGCGGGGGCTGGAGCCACATCCCGCACGAACGGACCGCGACCCCCCCCATCCACTCCCATCCCGCCGCCGCTGCCGGCTCCTGCACGGGCAAGCTGCCGGCTCCTTTACCGGGCAAGCACCACCACGACCTTGCCCGGTAAAGCCCAAATACAGCTTTGACAGTGCTAACAGGACCCGAGCTAACCCCTTCCCCCCGGGGGTTCAGACACAGGGCTCGCCGGGCTCCTGCTGCCGCGAGCGCCGGCACCAGCCCCCGGGGCTCGCTGGCCGCCGCTGGCTCCGGCCCGTCCGGCCCCGCAGCTCCCGCCGTCGCGGCAGGGCGCCGAGCCCCGCCGGGCGGCCGCCCCGGAGACGTCGGTCGGGGGTCGGCGGCGGACGGAGGACCCGGGCGGCCGCGGTCACTTACCGGGGAGGGCCGGGGAGAAGTCCGCGCGGGAAGCGGACGAGCCGCCGCGGGGAAGAAACTTTCCTGCCCGAGCGGGCATCCCCGCCCCGCCGCCGCTCACGGCCCCGGGCGGGCGGGCGGCGGGGCTGGGCCGAGCGCCGGGCGCTCCCTCGGCCCCGCCGCGGCCGGCCGCCTCAGAGAGCTCGGCGGGAGCGCAGCCCCCTCGCCGTGCCGCATCCTCCCCGCCGCGGGGCCGCCCCCCGCGGCAGCGCGCCCGCCCTCCCGGCGGAGCCGCCGCCGCCGCCCGTGCCGGTGCCGCCGCTGCGGGCGGTGCGCGGCTCCGCGGCTCCGGCCGGACCCGGCACCGTTGCCAAGCGACGGGAGCCGTGACACAGGGAAATTGCGGCAGGGCGGCCGTGCCCGCCACCCCCGCCACCTGCGCACCTGCGGCCGCCGCCGCCGCCACGCCCCGGCGGCCCCGCCCGCGCCGGCCCCGCCCCGATCGCCACGACAACCCTCGGGCTCCTCTCCACCTCCAAGTAATGTCTTGGCAGCCTCAGGCTCGGCTACCTCACCTTTGGTGTTCCCCCCCCCCCCCCAGGTTTGCTGTAATGCCTAGGGACAAAGTCAAGAGGCAGGTGGAAAGGTAAAGCAAGAGGACGAGGAACAAAGTGGCAGCTGAGATCCATCAGTGGTGTCACCCAGACCCTCTAGGTTGCAGCAGAGACGGGGGAAACAGTGTTCTCTTTTGAGTTACTCCGTGAAAACCGATTAAATTGAAGCTATCACCTAAGTGAGACATAATCTAACACGTCCCGTCACACTGCCACACTTATTCTGAGGAGGAGATTGCTGCTGATTGCTTTAGTCAAGTCTTGTTACAGGTCCACCATGATCTAGAAAGGCAAATCTCTGGCAGCTATGTCAGTAAGTACAGAAAACTCATCCTGTGGCTTGTGTTTGCTCCCTAATGTGCCTAGCAGGCTTTGCTGGGGTGGATAGACTGAAAAACTGCTTTTTTGAACAGTAGTCTTAGAATTCTTTTGAAGCTGGACTGTGACCTCGCCTGCGCAAAACCAGTTTTCATCTACCTCTACGTGACCTCTTGTGTGGAAAGTCTGTGGGTAAAATAGCCTGACAGAAACTGAACGGCAATAAAGAAAATTGTTATGGTGTCAAACGGTGTTTTTAAAACTAAAGGATCCAACACAAATTGGTAAAAAACATCAGAGAGATTATGCACATTCAGTTAAATTGTATATATTCCAGCCTCAACAATTCTGCCGTTCTATGTTCACCCAGACCATGCTATTTTGTGTCTTTCACTGCAACCATCAGTGCCTGGTTTGAGAACAAACAAATCCTAAAGCTGCACATATGCATTTTAATGTCATTTGCAGTTTGTCTCAGCAAAATATTTGGGACACATTTATTTTAGTACATATATAATTTTTAGTTATGCAACAGGCTTGAAATTTAAGATTTATTATTTAAGAACTTCTTTTAAACATGTGCTTTGAACAGTCTCAATGAACCTGAGTCTTCTGACATTCAGTAATTTGCTTTGTGTTCAGCCCAGACTATCAGAGAAAACCAAACATATCACATCTGTTTCCACTGGAGACCTGTATCACATCAATAATGCAGCATCACCAGACTCTCCCTGAAAGGCTCTTCTGCTAGAGAAAGAGGAAGAACAAGAGTAATTTTTTTAAAGGGCAAAGAGCTCTTTTCCCTGTCTGAGTCATATTTTCTATTTCTGTCAAACTAAAACATTCTATTTAGCTATCTTCTTTATACAACAACCTTTTTTCCATATTTTCATTGCTAAAGATTTGAGTGATTAGGCTATCATCACATTCACAGATTTCAAATTACTCTTAGCAAAATGTGTTTTAGGTGAGGGCAAATCCTGGAAAACAAGAAATATGTTCTTGGATGAAAAGCTGCCAAAGGTGTTGTTCCACAGCAGCTATCAATGTAATCTTAATTTGCTCTGCATGGTAAGGACCAGTTGTACAATGGCAGGCTGAATCCATCAGAGCAAGTTATTTTGCAAAGTTGCATATCCCTACCTATCCTGCAGATTATTCTTCTTGTTTAAAATAAAGCATTGGGAGCTCTAATGAAACTTTTTTTTTATTTTCAGTTGATATGGATTTTTGTGTTCCCAGAAGTGGAGTGATTGCAAGAGGTAGCTCTCCTAATGGTCTGATTTACTGGTTGCCAGAGTGAATTTGTACCTGTGTTTGCATCAACTACTGAGTACTGATGACAGGCTCAGCTCCTGCCTTAGGTGCATTACTTTCTACATGATGCTGTGCGTTTATCATTAAACTGTGGTGAATGTAAATGTTAGGAATTGGAAAGAGGTTATTAGAGCTGAGTTTTCTTTCTTCTTTCCCATTCCCTTTTCTTTTTTTTCCTTTCTCTTTCCCTTTTTCACGTTCTCCTCTCCTCTCCGAACCTCTCCAAACCTCTCCATATATCTATATAAAAATCACTAATTTTTAAGCATATGCTTGCTTTTGTTATGTTGTTTGAGCATAAGATGGTAACCTTCATCTGGTCCTTCTGGGGATGTGCTTCAAAACAACAATGCCATGATTTTTAGTATATGCACTTGAATCTGTTCTACTCCAGACTGGCTGGGTATGTCAGGTCTTATCCAGGAGATATGTAGCCAGGTAAATATATCTCAGCCCTCAGCAGGCCCAAGGTCCAGAAACAATTCAAAAGACAACCCAAAGTACTTGGTGTACTTCTATGAAATACTGTAAGATCTATGGGTTCCAGGCGTGGACATTCAGTTCCCAGCGTAGACACCCTACGAAACAGAGAGAAGGCCCTTTCTCAAATCTGAGCACCACATTAAAAGCATAAATATGAAAAGGATTTTTAGAGTAATATTAAAAGCATGAGAGATATTTTGCATAGTTTTCAGGTTCCACCCAGTGATTTTTCTTTACAATTTCCCAGACACAGAGTAACAAAAGTATGGAATGGTCATTGACATCCTAATTTACACCCTGCTAGCAGAATGAGTTCCAGTCATAGCAGTAGCTCTAACCTGAAAGCCTGTTTTATTTATAGCTTATTTAGCTATTTTTATATAGCTAATATATTAAATTAATAAAAATAAAAGCTGATGTACATTTTGTACATATACTTCACAGTATAGTGTGCTAAATGCCAAGGTTTCCTGAGTCTTTATTACTGGAATTCATAGCTTCATCTTGTTCAATAGCTAGGAAAGTTATAAGAGCATCACTCCAAGTGATCACTTCATATACTTTGTCTGCTTATTTGTTTGTTACCCATGCCAGTATAAATTCCAATATGATTAATTTTGGAGACTCTGGTATGATTAATACTGGAGACTGTGGTACAGTTAATGGTCATTTGATAACCAATGCAGAGGAAAAGAGGAGCATTGTGAACGAACTAAGATAAATCACCTTCACTGAGAAAATATATATTTGAATTCCATACAGACCCACATCAAACATAGTGAATCTGCATGGTGTATTAGATTCTCAATCTTATTTGATATGTGGTAGAATCAAAGGCAACTTTTCTTTTTGTTATGTAGCAAGCCTGGGTCTAGATAATCCACTGAAAGTGAATGGCAATTTGCATGTCCGGTCTTCTTTCAGAATTAGTTATAGCAGACATACACATTGCTGGGAACATTTGCCTGGGTGAAGGCAATACACAGCCATGAAATCTGGTGATTGAAAGGTAAAGGGAATGAATGCTTTCACATGAACAAACTATTTTCTAAAAAGAAGAAAAAAAAAAGCATGGAACTGCCACTTCAGTTTTTACTGTCATTCTCTATTAATAGATTTTTTTTATTTTTGAGGCATTAGTGACACTAACCACTTTATAAATATATGTATTTTTAATTGAAATTTTGCAAAAGGCTTGAAATCAGAGGAGACTGAATGTGAAGTGCTCCCGGGTCAGTTGTGACATATTGCAGGAAGTCTGTGCTGGTCACACTGCAGGTTATGAATCATGCTCAGGGGCAGATGTCACTCAGTTTCTTTTAGATGTTCTGTTCATGACTTCTCAGATGGTTTAAAAAGAAACAGGAACCATTCAGCCATGTTATTTGCCTTCACTTTTGATTTGTTGATACAAGGCAACTACAAATAACTGCAAAAAATTGTGTTCTGTATTCATGGACACAAAACTGCATAAAGGCCAATCAAGAACACTTGCCAAACTGTTCGCTTGGAAGGGAAGACCAGTGCAGTACTTCCCTCAAAAAATTGGAATTACTTCTCTTTTAAATTTATTTTTTCATGTTGTTCTCCTTCCAGTTTCCTCATTGCTGTACGATATAAGCTCTTTTAGATGGGGGCCATCCCAAAGAAACAATGAGATATCTGTAAGCTATATCAGTACAACTGTTTCACGATTAGAACCTTCATATTTTTTAAACATTTTTGTTGTCTATTTGAAGGTCCACAGAAAATTACGTGAGCATGTATTTTGTAAGACAAGTTCATAAAATAGCTTATTTTATCTCCAAGCCTCAGAAATAGTATGTGGAGTCACTGGAATGGCACTAGTCTATGAGAAATAATGATGAAGTAGGTTGGACAGAGGGTTGAAAATATATTTTATTATAAACTATATTAAAAGTACACTACGTGCATGCCAAAACACTTGCTGTAGCAGGAGAACATTAGAATGCACCAATAACACATGGCTTCTGCTGTCTTTTTTTTTTTCATCTAGGGCAGTAAGTGCTAGAGAGATTTTTAGCCTTGGTAATTTAAAATTGTAAATGTTCAAAAATAAACTTGATACCAGGATTTTTGCAACTCTGTGCAAAGGTTTTTCATCAAGGAGAAAGATGCTCATGCACTGCTCATTGCAAGTCCAGACACCAGAGAGTTCTGGCGATATGAAAACAGCTCAACTAAGAAGTAGTCAGGGAGGAATGGTGAGCAGTTTGCCTCCTCCACATGGGGACAGGATATCTAAGAAGTGGAGTTAGTCCACCCAGTCCATGAGCTGGGTTAGTCAACCACAAGCAGCCACCGTTACACAGAGCCTGACTATATTACAGATCTTCTACAACTTTAATTGTATCAGTTTTTCCCCCCGTTTCTTGC